TATGGGCTGTGAAAGTATTTGAGATCTTAAATAGGTCTCTACCTTTGAAGCAAGGCCACAGCAGCACCGTTGAACTGGGTAAGCAAGTCCTTGTTCTCTGAAGGGTCACCATAGTTCTCACCCCACGATGATGGTATAACTGCCATGCCAATGGCAAGAAAGCATGCAGTGGCGTCAAAGGGGGACACAGGCCCAAGACTCATGGTATCAACTAGCAGATTTCCGAACAACCCGGGACACAATAGCAACGAGACCATTGCTGAGAAATATTGGGAGAAAGTTATTGAGAGCCATTGTTGATCAAATCCTCTCTGCAGAAATAGGCAGAAAACAGGGTCAATGACAATGAAAATGAGGTAACTTCTATGGACAAACTACAAACTAGTTGTTGCCTAGAGTTGGCTTACACTTACACATCCAAAAACGGATGACAAAGAAAGAACCACAGCTTGACGGTTCAAGTCCTTCATCGCCAGGTCAGAAAGTATCAAAGGAAGGCAGCAGAAAAGAACAAGAAAAACAAAATGACAATATGACGAAAGGGAAAAGTTTGATGACAAGTGGGGATCCCTAGACACAATCTTTTGAGCATCCTATCCAAAATAGGAGCAAAATAAACAAGGGCAGAACGATCAAACAATTCCAGTTCTGTATTTCTGTAGCCAGTGTTTCTGGCAACTAGGGCGCAATTGAAAATTATTAGAGTCAAAATTATGGATATAGATCCAGTTTCACTAAGTAGTTTTCTTTTCTTATTTCTTGGAAGAATTTATGGGACTACTATAATCTGGTTACAAGAAAGAGAGCCCAATGAATCAGCAGACATCAGGACAACAAGATTAATCTAAAGAGTTTGCAAGATACAAGAAATTTAAGCAAAACTCTGGAAGCATTATGATGATGAAATAATTGCTTACCAATGCCATCCGTCATCAAAGTTCTAGAAAAGGCTCCAACAAGAAATAGGCTTTTAGAAAGAAAGGTCCCCCATTGTGCAAAAAAACTACAGATTATGTTCACACATAGGGAATCCAATTCTCAGATGCAATCATGCTCACACAAAATACCACAGTTACGCATCAGGATCAATAATACTGTTCATCAAAATTCAAATATGAACTGTAATCAATTCAATATGGATTCCTCTGTCACCAGTCACTAATACAAGTAAGAGCCTTTTACCTTGTTGTGTTCAGCCACAAGCCATGATTCAAAAGCTGAAAATAGGAGAGAAGTGGCAATACCACCCAAAATACGACCCAACATCAAAACTTTGTACTGATGAGAATGCTTGGTAATACAGGTTAATATGTAAGTAATGCAATAAGTCACGCATGCTCGTTTCCGACCCCTGAATTTAAGTTATGAACCATCAGAAAAACATGTGAATAAGCTATTTCGTCACAAAACAACGTGGGTACCTAAATCAGAAAAGAAAATCTCACCATTTGTCATCTATCCAACAATGGTGCCAAACAACATTGAAGATCCAAATCCTTCGATAAAGAGCTGCCCAATTTCTCCTTTCCCATAGCCATACATCATTCAATTGTTAAGACAACTTTCACTGTAGACAAAGGCTAGTATGGCTACCATGGTTTGCTCTTGAGAACAGCTACACCATGTGTACTGATGCATGTAAACACAAGCACTACGATACTTAAAGATGGTCAATATCACATGTTATGCTTAACAGGAGACAAAGTTATCCTATTGGAAGCATGCATCTGTCTTTGTTTTTTCAGTATTCCAGAACTTACTTTTTAAATTGTTGAACTCGACTGGTTTTTGCCTCTCCGTAGTCGGTGCAACCTAAAGGTGGTCGCCAAAAACAAGTAGATCATGGGGTGGCATTTGGTGTCCTCATCATCCAAAAGCTTGCAAATGTCTTCGCGCTCTCACCAAGAAAAGGCTATTACATCACCTAGAGGATGGTCATTGAATCATCACCACAGTGGTTGGTTGGCCCACGGCTCAGCCTCTCTCAAGCGACTATTCATGTGGGTATCCTATCAAGCACCAACAGTGCCCATTGTTGAATGCCTCAATCGGCTGCCGCAACTGCAAGGTACACTCAATTCTTACGAGGGTGGGTAAATCCCTACGTGATTGGCATTATCGAAGAAGTGGCTGTCATTGTCGCCTCCATACCCCCTTGACAGAAAATCTACACAACGGTCATACTCTCACATGTCAACTGCTGGTCGTGACCAGTTAAACTCATGAAGGGTCTAGTTTTTGCTCAAGAATCCACAATGCACCTCAGTATTAAGCTCTCCATTGTACAATAGTGAATTGCATATTATCAAGGAAGTGGCTGTCACCACCACTTCTCATCCCCAAAACAAAGTTCTATGATGATCTTTTTGGGCAAAGAAAACTATCACCATATCCTTGCTTAAAACAAATCAAGTTTCTCACTGCTGCCGACTAACTGCTTTCTCTGTCACACCCCAACTCCAAGGGCATGACCAGCCGTGAACCATAGATCCATAACCTATGGAACATGTAAGCCTAACAATAAACTAATAATATAGTAGTGAAAAATAACATTAACACTAAATTGATCTCATGTCAATATGTTAAAGTCAACATACCTAAACTTGTTTACCCCAATTATCCAAATACAAGTAAAGAGGGCTATACAATATATGCTACGAAGGTCACAACACTATTAGTCCCCAATCAATTCCCTGAGTCCGCTATTGACACTCCAATCGTTTACCTAAAAAAATATTATTTTGAAAACATGAGCTAAAAAGCCTAGTGAATGGAAAGACATGCATATTCAAAGTGGCTGAAAAACATATTTAACATACGACATGTAAATCAAAGGTTTGGAAAAATAACTTCATCAAGATAATCAATTTCTCAAGAATAACACAATCGGATTCCAACAAGAAATCATACCACAATGGTGAATCATATCATAATGGTAGAGACTGTACGATATCCAATAATCGATAGGAACCAAATACCAAAAACAATAACTGATAATAAGAAAATACGTATGGCATACGATAGATAATCATAAACAAAGCTAGTAAAAACATTGTAACAGTAACAAATTATATCATCATCTCATACTGGTAAGGACTTGTACGATATCTGAGAACCATACCAAATGCCAGAAGATCTCAAGGTTGGATCCAACACCGTACTTAGGGTCACCACGGGTTGCCACCCCAGAACTGTTCCCTAAGACAATCCGGTAAAGGTCACCAGGACGCACCAGAAACTGTTCCTTCAACCGTTGAGCACTAGGGTCACCTCAGCCTCCCCCGGGTCTATTCCCTAGTGGCCAGGGTCACCCGCACACAGAAAAATAATTTTCCTGGACTTTTAGTACCAAATGCCAGAATATATCTCAGGGTTGGATCCAACATCGTACTTAGGGTCACCACGGGTTGTCGTTGGGAACTGTTCCCTAAGACGATCCGGTGAAGGTCACCAGGACGCACCAGGCACTGTTCCTTCAACTGTTGAGCACTAGAGTCACCTCAGCCTCCCCGGGTCTGTTCCCTAGTGGCCAGAGTCACCCGCACACAGAGGAATAATTTTCCTGGACTTTCAATCATGGTTTCATTCACTATCACAAAGTCTCACCATATAAACAAGCGATTGAGTCACAATACTTCACAAAAGAATTCATCAAAGTAAGGAGAATTGCATGCCACAAGTATTTAGGCACTTAGTAAAACATTTTATAAAGGTAGTAATGAACAAGCATTATATATTATTTTTAAAATGTTTAGGGATACGGAAAAAAATACGTAGTATGTCAATCCACTCACCTAAGTCCAATGATCCAGATGATATGCTTCTTGAGTGTTGCTTGTTACCCGAAGTAGAGTGAGATGTTATTAATGCCTTTTCCCTTTTTCTCACAATTTTCTTTGATAAAGTGCTCTTCCTTCCTTCTTCTCTCTTTTACTCTCTATTCTTTCTTAAAAGTATAAGACTACTTGTGCACTTGTATCTTAATCCAATTCCCAAATGCTCTATTTATAGACATCCTAGGATTATTCTAGAGAATATTGACATGTGACATTCTTAAGGGAGATTCTCTAGAATATTCTACCATCTCCTACATCCTTTTAGGTTTTAAGCTTATTTTGCACATGACAATTCCACTTTCCACAAGTATCTAGATTCATCTATAATATTCTAAAGTCTTCTTCAACCTTCTAAGTCCTTCTGGAATATTCTAAATCCATCTAAAACCTTCTAAAATATTCTAGACTTCTCTAGATTTTTTAGATTATTCTACGTTATTCTTGAACTTTCTAAAATCTTCTAGACTATTCTAGATTTTTCTAGAAACTTCTCCAATATTTTAGATTATTCTAGACTATTCCAAATTCTTCTTTAAAATTTTTCTTATTCCTTACAAGATAATATTTCTAACTAGTTCCTTACCAAATTGGAACGGGGATATTCTCGGTCTAGCACTCTGGTGCCATATGCTCGGCACTAAGATGGTAAGACTCTCACCAAGATTTGTAGGCCTATCAATCCCAAGGTGCTCAATCCATCTGTCAAAGGCCAATGGGTGATCGGTTTATCACCAAAGATTGGCTCCACTTGTAGCAATCCCCAGACCCCCCAAGAACCCTTCAATGACAAGCACCATCAAAGGCCATTCTGTTGAGACGTGGAATTCCACTTCGGCATCTATACGACTCAAATAGTGAAAATCCACACCAATCACTTAGATCATTTTATATTCACTCGGACACTATCCTTCGGGAAGTATTTTGAAATGCGGCATCTTCCTAGCAATCACCAAATAAACATGCTCGGCATCAGTTCGAACTGGTCAGCACCATCAAGATGAAGATCGGCACAATCATATACTACTGTTATGTCGACCCAGGCTAACCGAAGCAAGCCCCCAGGATTTTGCATACTAGACGTGGTGGTCGATCTCACCTAGGGACCACCGTTTAGTGGTCAATGTATCCTAGCATGGCCTTTCAACGGTAAGTAGCTCTCCATTTTCTCCATAAAAATGGTTGAAGACCCAAAGTTTGGGAGGCCTTGGTATGAGAACTCTCAACTCCATACCTCACACACACATTCTTACCATTTTCCTAGTTTTATACACTTGTCTATTCGGTTATTCATCGCAATACTGACTTAGGTATCGGAGGGTCCCTCTAATCTCATGTTGGTTTTGTAGCTCATGGACCGGATGATATTCCAAAACTAGGGACACACCTCAATAAATTTCAGTGATTGTGCGAATTTTTTGTTTGTATAATAATCAGGCGACTGAAAATTTTTGACAAACGGGAGAAATTATGTAATCATGGAAAGCCAGTCCTCGGACAACGTCCCTTCTCCCTTTGGGTGTAAGTCTTAACACTGCGTCCAAACCTGACCCAGCATAACACGAAGCTAGGACATTGGGATCAGATATGATGATACTAGGGTGGTAAATCTGGAAGCCTATAACTAGCTTGAATCTTTATGGACTTGGCAAACTCAACCTCCCTATACGATTGACCACGTTTTATTTACAAGATCGCAAAATGAACCAGTTAAAAACCTTCATAAATAAATCATATTTCATTTGACAATAAAAGCTGTAATACTTACTTTTAGTTTTAATGCCGGCAATTTGAAAAAAAGGTTACCGATATCAATTGCCGGCAAATACAATGTCTATTTCCTCTGATTGGGGTGTGAAGCCACTAAATTTTTTATTAACGTATAGCATAAAACAGACAAGTAACAAACTACCTTGATATCAATTGAAATTCATGAGATATCATTATAAGTTTCACCAATATAACATCAAAGTTTTCATCTGAGATTTTCAATTTATCATTCCTTTGCTTTAGTAGAAAGAGAAGGAGAATGAGCTGGAGAAAGAGGAGAAGTAGATGGACAAGGAAAAGAAGAAGGAAGAAAAAAGAGAAGGAACGGATAAGGAGAAAAAACGAGAAGGAGAAAGAGGAGGGGAAAGAGGAGGAGAAAAGTCAAGAAGAAAACAAAAAGCAGAAGTAAAAGAAAGAGGAGAAGGAGTAGGAGAGAAGAAGATAGGGAAAAGGAGCAGGAAAAGTGACCCGAAGAAGGAGAGGAGAAAGAGAAGGATTAGGAGAATGAATAAGGAGCAAGAGGAGAGGGAGAAGGAGAGAAGAGAAGTCACTCGAAAGTTTAAAATTTATGGTGACTCTAAGGAACATCAGGGACTTGCGAGGAACGAAAACTAAAAAAGAATCACATAGAAAAAGAGCATTGATTCCATATATACCTACATA